GGATGTGCTGGCGGGCGCCTGCAGTCCCAGCTACTAGGGAGGCTGAGGCAGGAGAATGGCGTGAACCCAGAGGCAGAGCTTGCAGTGAGCTGAGATCGTGCCACTGCACTCCAGCCTGGGTGACAGAGCGAGACTCCGTCTCAAATAAAAACAAACAAACAAAAACAAAAACAAAAAAACTAAAGCCTTTCTATAATCTACCAAACATGGATCTGAACGTGGAAGCCTTCAGTCTTTCTTATTAGTTAAAGCACCATCCTCTCCTTCATCTGCCCTGCCAGTGAACAAAGTTGTTTCCATGAAGGGATTTCATTAACTAAACTATCCATCATAGAATCCAGTTTTGAGTGCATCGAGGAGCTGCTTCTTGCAAGAACTTTGCTGTCTCAACCCACCTTCCTCCTACCACCGCTTCTCTCTGAGGGCTCAGAAAACATCTTTTTCGGAAACAGTTTTAACAGCAATTACAAATTTCTGACCAAAAGCTCTCTGGCTTTCATTTAAGCTTACCTTTTTCTTGGGTCTTTCTCCATAGACAGGGAGCATGGCTGGCGGGCACTGACCTTGATATCTTGTCTCAGTCCTGACTATCGCCTTCCTCCCCCAGAGGCAGATGGAAGCCAAAGAGGGAAAAATACCTGGGCCAGGTGAGTCAGCAGGTGTATCCTACAGAGTCACTCTGCAGAACCCCGTGGAAGCCAGCTGGATGGAAGGAAGGTAGCACCAGGGTCAACGCACCTTGAACCATTAATTAAGCTTTGTCTTTTCCACCTATGAGTCATAGAGTTTAATTACATTTACTTTCAAGGTTAAAAAGTTTACCTAACAATATGTCTGCAGTCAAAAACAAGGGCACATTCTTGATTTGCTGATTGATTACTCCCAGAGAGACACACAGAAACGCACAAAAATAACTTGAGGTCATTTTCTTCAGAATAGTGTTGTTTTCAATTTCTTGTTATCCTAAACAATACTACTATCAATATCCCTCTAGAGAAATCTTTACCTGCTTTGTTCGTTATCTCCACAGAATAAAGTCATAAAAATAGAATTTCTAGATTAAAGTTTAAGGGAGGTACATTTTTAAGACTTTTTTCTTTTCTTTTTTTTTTTTTTTTTTGAGACAGGATCTTACTCTGTTGCCCAGGCTGGAGGGCAGTGATGTGATCATGGCTCATTGGAGCCTCAAACTTCTGGGCTCAAGTGATCCTTCCACCTCATCCTCCCAAGCAGTCAGTACCCCAGGCATTTACCACAGGCCCAGCTAATTTAAAAAAAAATTTTTTGTGGTAACAGGGTCTCACTATGTTGCCCAGGCTGGTCTCAAACTCCTGACCCTAAACCATCCCTCCACCTTGGTCTCATAAAGTGCTGGAATTACAGGCATGAGCCACTCTGCCCAGCCTCAAGGCTTATTTAATATGTATTGGCAAGTCAAGCTCCAGAGAATCTATATTCATTTCTTTACAATTAAAAAAGTTTACATGTAAAACCTTTATAAACCTGAAGACCCATGTGGCTTTGTCTTAGAAAGGAGTCACTTTCAAGAAACATAATTCAAATGTCACAAGTAATTTAGGGGCCAGGTGCTGTGATTCACGCCTGTAATCTCAGCATTTTGGGACGCCAAGGCGGGAAGATCACTTGAGCCCAGGAGTTCAAGAGCAGCCTGGGCAACATGGCAAGACTTAGTTTCTTGTTTTTGTTTTGTTTTCTAAAAACTAAAAAAATTAGCTGGGCATGGTGGTGGGCGCCTGTATTTCCAACTACTAGGGAGGCCAAAGCTGAAAGACTGCTTGAATCTGGAAAGTCTAGGCCCCCAAAAAGTAAAAATAAAAATAAATTTGGGGTCAAGTGCAGTGGCTCGAGACTGTAGTCTCAGCTACTCAGGAGCCTGAAGTGGGAGAATCGCTTGAGCCTGAGAGTTTGAGGCTGCAGTGAGCTACGATTGTTCTATTGCACTCCAGCTTGGGTGACAGAGTGAGACCCTGTCTCTAAAAAATAAATAAGTAAAAAAAATAATAAATAGTAAAAGTAATGTAAAAGAAATTATCTGAAAATCAAATTTACCTGACAAACCCTGAGCTCTCTCTCCCCTTTATACACACACTGACACATATTCTGAGTAGTGCGGTGGGAGGGGGGGGATCCTAAACGTGGTTCCATCTGGTGATCTCAGGCTGACCCACCAATTCAACCCTCCCTCCTAGGGAACAGCTTTGAGAGATGTTATTCTGAGGCGGCGTTAACCCACTCCAATTTCCTGGATTTATACTAGTGGAGTGGCTGCCATGGAATAATAAAAAACATTCAGTTTTAACGTCGTCAAAATATTATACCTGTTAAATTTTTATTATTCGTGTCTCCCAAGCGGATTCAAACATATAATCTTCTGGCCCTGTATCAAAGTATCCTTACCTCATCCATTTTCCTCAGGTCCAGTTGTTTGTAGATAACGCCTCCCCTGAGGCTCTGCAGCAACTCCAGCCTGCATAGATTTTCTTTCCTCCCCTTTGCCTCTTCCCCTCCCTCAGCATTTTATCATGTAGTTCAGCTAAGCCTCTCTCACCCAGAAAGACTTCAGAGAGAAGACTCTTTCAGAGACAAGGAGAAGAGACTTTGGGCTTGCAATTAGAGAAATCTCTTTGACTAGAAGGGGAAGTCTGTTAATAATTTTCACCTAAGTCACCTCCAGTTCCCCAGTTCTTACCAGCTTTGTGAGCCCAAGTGGGGATGTCAGTTGCCTCCAAGTACATAATGCAAAGTCTCCAGCTCCTCTCAAAATCCCACTCAGCCCACCCAGTTTCTCTGGGTTCACACCCAGTTCAGTCTATGAACTCCAGCGGAAGTATGGCTCCTGCCTGCCTCGTTGAAGGGAATGTCCCTCTGCTGCCCTCCTGTAGCAGCTGTGAGAGTGATGGCCTGCCCAGAATCTCCTCTGCTCACCTGGAATCACTGGCAGATGCAGTTCCAGGCACCATGACACCTCCCACCCAAGGCCTGAAGTTCTCTTCTTTTTAGCCTTGGGCCTTCTGCACCACACCGGGACACAACTCAAAAGTGAGGGAAATTCTGGCCCTCAGGGAATCTGTCCATCAGTAGGGGGTAGGAATTGATGGCTGCTGTGAACAACCATGAGGCATGTTCCACACGGTCTGCAGATCAACTGGAGTGAGCCCCAGTGGCACCCTGCTTGTTAGCATACCATGTATGGGCCCTTCTCCCTTCCCTGTCTCACTTCCCCTCCATCTGTGTGTGCTTCCCGGGATCCGCTCCCAATAAACTACCTGCACTCAGGTCTTTGTCTGGGAGTCTCCTCGGGAGAAACGCAAACTAAGACAACTCCCCGTAGCACTCTGTTGCACTGCTTTCTAAGCACCCACTGTCTCCCTGGCGACCACATGTCCATCCCCAGAGAAAGCTCCTACTCTGCTGAGGGTGGTCAGGACTTGGAGTTACTACAACGACATCTGTGGGTTGCCAAATCTGTGTGGAAGTAACCATGCCTTAACTCATCTCAGAGGATTCCATGAAAGCCCCAGCGGGCAGATGGTCCCAGGGGTCTGTTTGCTCCATTGAATAGGGCAGGCATGGTCCACAAGCGGAGAAGCCTCTAGCTGAAGTTGGTAAGTATGCACTATCCCAAAGAATGTGTCCAGGGTATGTAACTGGCCACCCCATCATCTCCCCTCCTCAAGCAACAGAGCTTCTTTTGCCTCCATATCTGGAGGTTGCCCTGACCATGTAGAACATCTGCTCAATCGCAGCCCCTCCCCAGGGGGAAAGCAAACAGCTGGCTCTCCTGCCTTTGATCATGCGGGAGAGATGCTAAGAGGTGGAGAGAGTGGGGTCAGTTCCACTTAAGGTAGGAAAGACAGAATCACAGAATGTCACCACCAGAAAGGGTTTGAAGTTCATTTACCCACAAATTTTTAATTGGCAGCATTGTGGACTGTGTTCAGTCTGAGACAGGTTCTCTTTGGCCAAAACAAGATTTTTGCTCTAACAAACCCAAAGAGTATTTTTAAAGTTCTCAAATTCCAGATTCTCTTGAAAACAATGGGAAGCTCTGACAAAGTGGAGTCCATGTTCCCACTTGCCAATAATCCGCTAGCTGGGGTTTAACGACGGGAAACACCTTTTCAGACCTTCAGAGTCCTGCCACAGGTTCAATCCTGTACGCCCAGAGCTTCCTGGGCACCAGTCATTTGAATGGGCAGTTCCTGTGTTTAACCAGGGAGGTTGTGGGAGGAGTTCGAACCTGTTAGAAGCAAAGTAAAGGGCTCCGGACTCTCCGGACAGATAGGCTGAGGCACTCCTGGGATTGTCTTTGCAGGGCCATGGGATCTGATAGTGGTGGTCGTCGCAAAGTTTGGGTGAAGACTTCAGGGACTTTGAGCAGGGCAAACTGCCCCCATCCCCAGCTTCCTCCTGGTGGCCTCCTCCTTCATCGCCATCCCCAAAGGAACACGCCGCATTTGTCGGAGCCGGGCTTTCCTTGAAAGGGTCACCTTCAAGTGGGCGCGGACGCTGGCACTGGGCACCTCCGGAGGACAGGACTCTCCGCTCCTGCGCGCGCGACCCGGGTGCGGTACCACAGCTGGCGGCAGAGGGCGGTGCTCCCTGTTCCACAGCGCACGGTCGAAACCCGGCTACTGTGGTCCCATTCAGACGGGATGCGAAGGCGCTGAAATCCCTGCCAGGGGAGGGCCCCGCTGCCCGGGGACTCGCGTCAGCGTGGACGGACCTACGGTGCCCGCGCCCTGGACGCACCAGCCCGAGAGCACGCAGTGGGGTGTGGGAGCTGGGAACCCACCCTCGGCCTCGAGTAGGAGGCAGGCGGGGACCCCGGGGCGGAGTCCAGCGCGGGGCGGGGCGCACAGGTCTGAGAAGCTGGAAAGAGCTGTGGGGGCGGAGCGCCAACTCCAGCTGGAACCCAGAGACCGCCACACGCCGGAGGAGCGCGCCGGGCGGAGGGAAAAAGAGGGACATCCCCCACGCAGCGGCTCTGCAAGTGCAAGTCCGGGTCCTCGAGGCGCAAACCGAGTGGCCTGCCCGTGCCCAACCACCCTGTGACCCTCGATCCGGCTTCCGGAGCCGCAAAGCGCACAGAAAGGAGGCGCCGAGGCAGGTAAGGGCTTAGATTCTTGCAGTCCCGGGACTCATTCGGTGCGGTGGGGGAGTCGCTAGGACAAGGGCCTCCGACTCCCACTTTTTTCTCGGGCATTCTGGCTGTTTGCCTCCCACCACTCTCGGGGCTGGCTTGAAGCAGGCGAGTTGGTTTCAGGCAATCCCCTCTGGGCCCTCTAGAACGGGGTAGGGGACGGTAAGCGGAGTCTGTGGTGTGCGGGCGCGGGCGGAGGAAGTCAGCGGGTAGCTGAGCTCGAGGGCGAGCTCCAAAGTGCAGCGCAGGGCGCAGGTAGAGGGGCACCTTCCTGAAAGGTGAGCAGAAAACAGCAAGCGTCCGTGGGGAAATTCCCGCGCACCGCATCCTCCACCCACCCGCCGTTTTCTTCCAGCCAGGAGGTCCCACAGCCTTTGCTTCTCGAGCCTGAATTTTTGGCTTGATTCCTGTCCTAGCCAGGGTGTCGCCTCTAGACACCGACCGCGCGGCCGCGTTGATGGGGCGGGAAGGGGGCTGCTGGAACGGGTTGCTCCCGGGCGGAGAGTGCAATCTACGAAAATGCGGCCTGAATCTGTCCCAGCCCGGGCGCGCGCCCTCTCATCTTGGGTTAGGGGACTAGAAAGCCGAGGAGGGGTAGGACTCCCAATTCTTGGTCCCAGGCTGAGCAAAGGCTGCAGGGATTGGTCGCATGAGACGGAGGGGCGACCTGGAGGGAAGACAGCTCCGGATGTGGACGCCACTGAGATTTGCACCTCGCCTCTTGGAGGTTTTCACCTTGGGAAAGCAGCTGGCGGGCGCACCCCAGGTTAGGGTGTCTTTTGCTGGCGCGCAGTTCCTGTCCCTCGGCGTTCTCCTCCCCTCGCAGGAGTGGACCAAACGCGTTGTTCAGTTGGGACCCAGCATCCCGCGGCGCCCACATGTGGAGTCGTTTCCAGGTGTGCTGAGAGGCGAGGGGAAGGCCACTCACAGTTGGACAGCCAGGGCCCCCTTTCTATAGGTGTTGGGGTCTCAGCTCTTTTTCCAGCCCTTCGGTGAAGCCTTGTACCCTGGGGTGCCCTATCTCCTGCGGGCTCAGGGCTTCAGAGACTATTTTCCCTATTTTGAGACTTTGGTGACAGGACATGGTGCCTTTCAGGCAGGGTTGACCCTGGGTGGAGAACTAGGGCCAAGTGAAGGAGGTCAGGGAGCAGATCCAAAGTTGGAGTAGGGTGGGAAGGGCGGCAGAGGATTTCTTTCTCAAGCTGGTTCCCAAAGAACAGGGGAGCAGCGGGGGAATCCCCCTCCCCCACCCCACCCCAGCCTCCTCCACCTACAGCTTCCTGGTCATGCACTCAACAGATTCCTGTCCAGCCCCCGCTATGTACCAGGTGCTGGACTGGGCAGCAGGAATTTGGTTTACAAGAAGATTAGGACTCCGAGAGCATACATCACTTGCCCAGGGTGACTCAGTCTGTCCATGTGAAAATGAACTTGGTGATTTCCAAGTCTATGGCTTGGTTAGTACAGAGGGAGTGGTGTCCTGCTTTGGAGAAAAGACCCCGCAGCATCCTGGCCCTCCTGCTTCATTGTCCCTGGCCAACAGGTGCCACGACATTGTGACAGCTGTAGGAGCCTGGCCGGCTCCTGGGAGCAGCCTTGGAAACATTCCAGAAGCCCCTGTGGGAGCTGATGTGTTGGGACTGGAGGATGTGACTGGGCAGACAAACAGGCTCTGGCCCCTGGGCAAAGGGCAAAGGTGCACATTCTTCTTGAGAGTTTTGGAGAGTCCGATCCATCCTATGCCATCCTTCCTGACAGGTGGGCAGCCCCTGAGGGTTTCCCAACTTGCGGATCTCAGGTCTCCTTTCCCCGCATCCTGGGTAGTTCCATCTGGTTAGGCTGTGGGTCTGGTTGGCCTATACTTGGGGAACTCAGGGAATGTGACCAGATGTTCTCCTGCATGTTGTCCACTGGTTGTGCCTCCTTCCAGGATCCAGGATGGCGAGTCAACTCTCCCCAAGGATTTGGGCAGGGTGCTAGGCTCACTGACCCTGAAAGAGCAGAAGGTCTGGACCCCCACCCCTTGCACCTCCCTCACACCGCTTTTCTTGTGGACATCACCATGGCAGCCCAGAATGGAAATACCAGTTTTGCACCCAACTTTAATCCACCCCAAGACCATGCCTCCTCCCTCTCCTTTAACTTCAGTTATGGTGATTACGACCTCCCTATGGATGAGGATGAGGACATGACCAAGACCAGGACCTTCTTCGCAGCCAAGATCGTCATTGGCATTGCACTGGCAGGCATCATGCTGGTCTGCGGCATTGGTAACTTTGTCTTTATCGCTGCCCTCACCCGCTATAAGAAGTTGCGCAACCTCACCAATCTGCTCATTGCCAATCTGGCCATCTCTGACTTCCTAGTGGCCATCATCTGCTGCCCCTTTGAGATGGACTATTACGTGGTAAGGCAGCTCTCTTGGGAGCATGGCCACGTGCTCTGTGCCTCCGTCAACTACCTGCGCACTGTCTCCCTCTACGTCTCCACCAATGCCTTGCTGGCCATCGCCATTGACAGGTGAGGATGGTAGGTGGGGTGAGTGATGGGGCTGGGCCTGGCTGTCTCTTTCCTCACTTAGGCTCTGAGAGGCTGGCATTGCTCCAGAGAGGAATGCTCACCAATCTTTGGAGGGCAAGAGGAGGTCTTGTTTCTTCACTTGTGTTCTATTCCCCCAGATATGAGCAAGACTGAGGCTGCTGAGTGGCCCATCTCTGGGCCATGCCCCCAGATACCACATGTGCTTCAGATACAGGCAGGCCACATGACTGTGTGGCATCAACACAAAGGGAAAGCAAAAACGGCAGGCAGCTACTACCTAGAAGCCACATGAGAGTTAACTAGGGCAGCTTCCAGTCAGGAGAACACGTACCAAGCTTTTCCTGTAGCCACCCTCCAGGTGGAGATGTGAAACATTTCCATCACCTGCAGTTGTGCTCCTCACCAGTCAATCCTCCCCCACCAGGCAACCACCAATCTGATTTCTATCATTACATTCAGTTTCATCTGTTCTTTTACATCATAAAAAAGAAATCATACCGTATGTGCTGTTGTTTCTGATAGACTTTGTTGCAGAGCTTATTTTAAAATGAGATAACAGGGTTTGTTTGTGCAAAAGAGGAAAGGACACGCTTGCTTTTGCTTTTCTGCATATGTTGGTGTGCTCATTTGCATACATTTGCATAAGATATTCCAGAAATCCTTGCTCTATTTTATTTTTTCCTTTCCTTTATGTATTTATTTATTTTTTTTATTTTTTTTATTATTATGCTTTAAGTTCTAGGGTACATGTGCATAACGTGCAGGTTTGTTACATATGTATACTTGTGCCATGTTGCTGTGCTGCACCCATCAACTCGTCAGCACCCAACTACTCGTCATTTACATCAGGTATAACTCCCAATGCAATCCCTCCCCCTTCCCCCCTCCCCATAATAGGCCCCGGTGTGTGAGGTCCCCCTTCCCGAGTCCAAGTGATCTCATTGTTCAGTTCCCACCTATGAGTGAGAACATGCGGTGTTTGGTTTTCTGTTCTTGTGATAGTTTGCTAAGAATGATGGTTTCCAGCTGCATCCATGTCCCTACAAAGGACACAAACTCATCATCATCATTATTTTTTGCTTTTATTATTTTTAATTGACACATATAATTGTAAATACTTATGGGGTACAGAGTGATATTTCTATGCATGTATACAATGTGTAATGATCAAGGTAATTAGCATATCCATCACCTCAAACGTTTATCATTACTTTGTGTTGGAAACATTCAAAATCCACTCTTCTGGCTATTTGGAAATTATATAATAAATTGTGTTCATTATATTCACCCTATAGTGCTGTAGAACACTAGAACTTACTCCTCATCACCAACCCTTGCTCTATTTTAAATTTTAAAGTAAAATGTATAATAGCAGTTTATGACAAACCTTACGCACGTTTTGTTTATGTGAACAGTTGCAGGCCGGCATCGGGCCATCACTGGCTCTGTTCGAGGGGGCAGTGGTCACCTTCTCATGTTTCTCCAGTTGTGTTCTGCTCCGCCAGATATGAGCAAGACTGAGGCTGCTGAATGGCCCATCTCTGGGCCATGCCCCCAGATACCACATGTGCTTCAGATACAGGCATGCCACGTGACAGTGTTGCTGTCTCTTGGTTGTGTCTCTTGGTTGCTGTCCGCCATTGTAAGCTGTGCTCATTAGGATGATCTGCTTAGTCATCCTTTTTCCTTTCATCTTTTCAACTCTTAAATTTTTCCCCTGTTCTCAGTGCTGCTTAGGTTTGTTCTCTTTAATCAACCAGTTTAATATTTTTCATTTTGGTAATAAAATACACAGACGGGTGTAGGAAGCATCCTTCTTCCTTTGTATAATATGATTCCTACAGGAAAAACGATTTTACTACAACTCTGAGGCTCTCCAGCCCTGAAACCAGCCCTTATGAAATGTGTACCTATCAACCAACTGCACAAAATTCTCCAGGGAAAATGGTACAAAGTATCATTTGATAGAAAGATACAAAGTCAGCCCAGTCGCGGCAGCTGATGTCTGTAATCCCAGCACTTTGGGAGGCTGGGGTGGGCAGATCACCTGAGGTCAGGAGTTTGAGAACAGCCTGGCCAGCATAGTGAAACCCTGTCTCTACTAAAAACACAAAAATTAGCTGGGCATGGTGGCGGGTGCCTGTAATCCCAGCTACTTGGGAGGCTGAAGCAGGAGAATCGCTTGAACCTGGGAGGCGGAGGTTGCCGTGAGCCAGGACTGCGCCATTGCACTCCAGCCTGGGAAACTCTGTCTCAGAAAAAAAAGAAAAGAAAAGAAAAGAAAGATACAAAGTCAGATTCCTGGGCTCCACCCCACCCTCTTGAATGGGAATCCCTTGGGCGAGGTCCCAGGAATCTGCATTTTTATCTAATTCCTCAAGTGATTCTGATGCTCACTAAAGTGAGAGTGTATTAGTCAGGGTTCTCTAGAGGGACAGAACTAATGGAATATATATACGTGTGTATACATATTCCATATATATATATATGGGAGTTTATTAAGTATTAACTCACGTGATCACAATAGGCCATCTGCAGGCTGAGAAGCAAGGAGAGCCAGTCCGAGTTCCAAAACTGAAGAACTTGAAGTCCAATCTTTGAGGGCAGGAAGCATCCAGCTTGGGAGAAAGATGTAGGCTGGGAGGCTAGGTCAGTCTCTCTCTTCACATTTTTCTGACTGCTTATATTCTAGCCAAGCTGGCAGTTGATCAGATTATGCCCACCCAGATTAAGGGTAGGTCTGCCTTTCCCAGCCCACTGACTCACATATTAATCTCCTTTGGCAATGCCCTCACAGACATACCCAGGATCAATACTTTGTATCCTTCAATCCAATCAAGGTGACACTCAATATTAACCATCACCGAGAGTAAGTACTGTTCCTATCCCCCCTTGTCCCACTGAAACCTTTGTCTTTATAATGCTGGTTTGGTTTGGTTTCGTTTTTTGTAACACTGGAGTTTCTTGGGAAACAATTGCCTTGTTACAACACCACAGACAACAGAGTGAGTCCTTTTACACCCCAAACCAACTCTGCCCCAGCCAACTTCCCAGCACCATCAGCAGCTCCATCATTCTCTCGGCCATCCAACCAGGGAAAAGTTACCATCATCCTTACCCTTTCTCCCTGTCCTACCTCCACTCACCCCACCCCATGTGTTCAGCCATATACCAAGTCATGGCAGCTCTCCCTCCAGCTTCATCTCTTAGAAAGTCATACCTGGGCCATCATAATGCTCTTCTAACCTGTCTTTTCACTCCCCAGGGGCTCCTGACTGTCCCCTGAAATCCATAGTCATCCATATTAAGCATAGGAATATCACCATTGATGGATCTTCCTGAAACATTTCATTGCTTACAAAATATCTAGAAATTCAAGTGCTTACAGAATACATGTCAAATCCTGAGCCTAGCATTCCAGGGCCCTTGTAATCTGATATCAATCTTTAATTTGCTCTCTTTCTAAGCTCATGCTATGTATGGAGATACTGATAGTATTTTCCAGGAGACAATGTGTTTTAAGCACAATAATTATGTTTTCTATCTTTCTCCACAGTGCCTAGCACAGAGACTTATACCTGTGTCTTAGCTTGGGTTACTCCCAAATCAGACTCTGAGACAAAGATTTATGTGCAGATAACACCCAAGAAGTAATTAAACAAGCTTTCACTGTGGGCAACTAGAGCATATTCCTGCTGAGGGACTCATGGAGCCAGCATAAATCACAGCTCTACAGAGAGTTCTTCTAGAGGTGGGAGGTAGGAAGGAGCTGGGGTATTTATACCCCAGCTCCCCGTAAGTCATTGGTGAGAGCTGCTCTGGAAATGCTGTACAGGTGGCAGGTGGTAGGACAGGGAGAAAGGGTAAGAATCCTCTTCTCCAATCAGGTTCTAAACTAATTGAAAAAAAATAAAGCAAAATGCTAAGAAAGATGGATGACCAAACTCTCACCTTTGTCCTGATGATGCATATTTTGGAGAAGGGGGCTTTTATCACTGGGCACAGCCAATCCCAGAATTAGATAGGCCTGTGTACTCTAACACACGTAGGATGGGAGAAGCACAGGCCTCCCTGTCCTACCACAAGGAAATATCAGAAGGGCCACCCAATGCTGTTTCCATATGCCACAGCCAGGTCCATCCAGAGAGGAGCCCAGAAGAGGTCCTATTTCAAGTTATAGATACCCTAGAAGGAAAGGATTGGCCTCAAGAAACACATCCAAGCAGACAGATGAAAACAAAGACCTTGCAGATGTCCCTCTTGCCAGCAAATGAGTCATAGGAAATGATTAGCTTAAAAAATGTGCAATAGCTTTCAACATCCCTTATGTATGTTTACCTTCTCAGAATAACAAAAAGCCTTAGAGGTTGTCAGTGATGTTATTAATTATCCCCACTTCACAGATGAAGAAACTAGGTCCCCCAACCAAAAGTGATTTATCCAAGTACACAGTTTGAGTCCAGGTACACGGCTGGAATCCAGGTCTTCTGAATAACTCTTAGGCCAGTGTTATTGCTTTCTGATTTGTTTGATGACAACTCTGAATTTTGGAACATCATACAATGAGGAAGATGTTATTGGAGGAAAAAGAATGAGAATTTAGGAATTAACAGCAGAATAAGGAGAAATGTGAAAATTCCCTTTGGCATGGTTTATTGAAATACTTTTCATGATGGAGCCAGATAGAGAGCTATAAAGTTATGAATTTATTCTGCATTATCTAAGGACTTTGGACTCAGTATGGGAGGCAGAATAATGTCCCTCACCCAAGAATAACCACATCCTAATCCCCAGGATCTATAAACATGTTACATTACATGCCAAAGGGGAATTAAGGTAGCAGATGGAATTAAGGTTGCTAATGAGCTGATCTTAAAATATAGAAATTATACTGGATTATCTGGGTGGGCCCAATGAAATCACAAAGATCTTTAACTGTGGAAGAGGGAGGCCGAAGAGTTTGTGTCAGTGATACAATGCAAGAAACTTGATTGGCCCTTGCTGGCTTTGAACAGGGAAGAAGTCATCAGCCCTGGAATGCTGGCATCCCTAGAAAAGGCAGCAAAAATAGATTCTCCCCATCAGCGCCTCCAGAAAGAAATGCTGCCTTGCAAACATCTTGATTTTAGCACAGTGAAAACCATGTCAAACTTCTGACCTCCAAAACCATAAGATAATACATTTGGGTTGTTTCAAGCCACTACGTTTGTGCTAATTTGTTACAAGCAGCAATAGGAGACTAATTCACTCAGTCATCACGGAGAGACAGTGATTGTGAGATGTCCCTGCACCCATCAAGAATGGGCCTGCCCATTTGTTCCACTCTCCAGCCCTGTCAGCCTTGTACCACACAGGCAGGTCATGCAGGTTAATTTGGTAAGGCCAGGTCATATGCATGGGTGAAGAACCCCAGCAACCATTGTGCATATGAATATGCCTCAGTAGGGTGCAGCCAGTGGTTGGGATAGGATCCAGCTTCATCCTAGATCTTCAGAAAGTCAAAAGCTGGAGAGAGCCGTGCTGCTTTGGTATCTCTGATGGAATTCAATGGATCAGAGCTACTAGCAGGCAGGGGGCAGGCAAGAGAAGATAAAACAACTTTGTGGCAGAAATATTGGCAGGGACAGGAAGAAATAACGTGACAGAAGGCCTTCTTAGTCCAGTCAGAGACTTGGAAAGAATGACTAAAGGATCTGATCACAAAGGAAAGGCAAGTGGGATAGAATTTTCTACAGGGAGCATCTTGCTCTTGTTCTTACCTGACTCAAGCTCCAGGTATGAAGTACACATTCATTTCTAGGGTTCATTTGTTTCCTCCCTGTCCTTCGTGCCTCTTATCTTCATCTACCTTATCCCAAAGCATTCCTTCGCTACCCCAACCATAAGATGCACAGAAATGATGCCAGGGCACCAAGTGTCTAAATAGGTGTCGTTAAGTCTCTCTGGAAAGAAAGTATTCAATCCGCACAAATGAGCTCATTTCCCACAAAGGGCTCCAGTCTCTCTCCCAGACAGTGTGGCTCATTGGAAAGGGCAAGGGTAAATACTTATGGTGTCACGGTGACTTCACACACCTTCTCATTTGAGCACAAGATGGCCCAGGGAGGTGGGAGCATAAGGTTTGTATCAAGAGCCTGGATTCTGATCCCTTTATGATGCGAGCTTGGGCAAGGCATTTACTTTTCATTAGAGTCCCTAGATTTCACCACAAGCCCACCTTGACTCTTCGGCTCTGAAGTGCAGGATGACAGCTCATGGGAGGGGAAGCAAGTTCTTGCCCACTGTCCTGAGAAAGGCCCCCACCTCTTTCTGGGGCCACAAGCCCTTCCTTCACCTAAACCGTGAGCTATTTGGAATGAAGAGCTTTGAGAGTATTATATGTTCTTGGGCAGAATGATAAGATGGAAACCCAAGGTGGTATAATAGGATGCTTAAGAATGATAACAGGCCACAAGTATTTATTGAACACCTACTATATACAAAGTATTTTACAAAAATTACCACATTTAGTGTTCACAGTAGCCCTGCAAAGTAAGTATCATCTTATTCCAGGTTGCATTTGAGGAAATAAATCAGAGAGATTGGATAATTCATCCCAGACCCCAAAGCCAATCCAGGGAAAAGCCAGGATTTATTCAGCCTGTTTGACCTAAAGCCTGTGCTGTTTTCACTAAAACACTCCACTATGCCAAATGATGTTGCTAAAATAAGATGAAGCTTGTTAAAGCTGGCTAACAGGTACATGAGGATTCACTGTGCCACTATGTCTGCTTTAGTGTATGTTTGGGGTTAGTCAAAAACTAATGTTTCCAAGCATTCATCATTACTACTGTTGGCTTCCCTCCCCCACTAGATATCTCGCCATTGTTCACCCCCTGAAACCACGGATGAATTATCAAACAGCCTCCTTCCTGATCGCCTTGGTCTGGATGGTGTCCATTCTCATTGCCATCCCATCAGCCTACTTTGCAACAGAAACCGTGCTCTTTATTGTCAAGAGCCAGGAGAAGATCTTCTGTGGCCAGATCTGGCCCGTGGATCAGCAGCTCTACTACAAGTCCTACTTCCTCTTCATCTTTGGCGTTGAGTTTGTGGGCCCCGTGGTCACCATGACCCTGTGCTATGCCAGGATCTCCCAGGAGCTCTGGTTCAAGGCAGTCCCTGGGTTCCAGACGGAGCAGATTCGCAAGCGGCTGCGCTGCCGCAGGAAGACGGTCCTGGTGCTCATGTGCATCCTCACAGCCTATGTACTGTGCTGGGCACCCTTCTACGGTTTCACCATCGTTCGTGACTTCTTCCCCACCGTGTTCGTGAAGGAAAAGCACTACCTCACCGCCTTCTACGTGGTCGAGTGCATCGCCATGAGCAACAGCATGATCAACACTGTGTGCTTTGTGACAGTCAAGAACAACACCATGAAGTACTTCAAGAAGATGATGCTGCTGCATTGGCGTCCCTCCCAGCGGGGGAGCAAGTCCAGCGCCGAGCTTGACCTCAGAACCAACGGGGTGCCCGCCACAGAAGAGGTGGACTGTATCAGGCTGAAGTGACCCCCTGGTGTCACACAACAGAAAACCCCAGTCCAGTACTCAAAGCATCACCCACCATCAACCAAGTTCATAGGCTGCATGGGAAGTGACATCTGTGTTCATGCCTCCCCCATGCCCTCAAGAAGCCCAACACTGCAAAGTCATAACATACAATGACACTAGACATGAACCAAATCAGCTGACATTTACTGACATCTGCTCGACACCTGCTGTGTCCACAGTCCCAACAAGGAGATTAGACACAAGGAGCAGCAACTGACATGGACTGAACACATACTGTGTGCAAACCACACCAATGAGATTAGACAGGGACAGCAGGAGCTGACATTTACTCATTACCTACTGTAATCAAAAACATTTGATTTGATTACAATCAAAAACATTTAAAAACATAACAAAATGGCAGAAGCTATTGGAGTCCCCAAGATATCTCCAGATATATAGATAGTTCACCCTCCATCTTCCCTAATTCTGTATCTTATCAGTGCAGGAATATCAAAAGGCTACAGGCCAGGCATGATGGCTTACGCCTGTAATCCCAGCACTTTGGGAGGCTAAGGCAGGTGGATCACTTGAGGTCAGGAGTTTAACCCAGACTGGCCAACATGGTGAAACCCTGTCTCTACTAAAAATACAAAATTAGCTAGGTGTGGTGGCAGGAGCCTGTAATCCCAGTTGCTTGGGAGGCTGAGGCAGGAGAATAGCTTAAACTTGGGAGTCAGAGGTTGAAGTGAGCTGAGATGGTTCCACTGCACTCCATCCAGCCTGGGTGACAGAATGAGACTCTGTCTCAGGAAAACAACAACAACAACAGCAAAATGACTACAGAAGAAGGCCCTTAGACACAATGGAAATGTAACAATGAGTTTTTCAGTGCAGGGTTTACAGCACCATGGGAGAAGCGTTGAAGCCATCACATTGAACTTTCCCACCCACCTCCTACTGCCTCCCAGGACATTCTCTAGGGTTTCGACTTCAAGAAAAAAAAAAAATCTTATAGTCAGCCCAGCCTTATGTGGTTATCCACAATGGTGTAATTTGAAAGGAAAGAACCTAAAAATCACTTTCCCACTGATGCTTGAAAGCTTATTTTATTTGGTTGGAGATGGGTAATCCTGAGGTGTCAATTTTTGATACCTCAGTGCAAAGGATTTCAGGGGCTCTGGAGTGAAGGGGAAAGAGGACAGAGAAAGAAGTGGAGGTTGCCACTGGCAATGAACATAATCTGTGTGGAGATTTTGCTAAGGACTGGACCACTTTCTAGAACACTCCCTCTTTTACAAAAGGAACTCTACCTGGAATCCAAAGACCTGGCTTCAGGTCCTAACTCTAAGACTCAAGTCTTAAACTCATGATGTTTTCTCTCTGTGTCTCAGTTTTGTTTTAATGAAGTGGCGATGATGAAAATACCTGCCCTTCCTACCTTGCAAGACTGTTGGGAGAGCCCATTGAGGCTTGTGAATTGAGGCTTGCAAGACTGTTGGGAGAGCCCATTGAGGCTTGTGGTTTGTGAATGTGCTTTTCAACTGTGCACATGATAAGAATGGAGAAGTGATATTGAACAGTTTATTTGGAGGGAGTTTATTTGGAAACCCCACCCACTGTGATTTATTAGAGAAATAGCCACACTTTTTCATCCCTGTTCTTTGGTTATAATATGGGAAGATTACAAAAGACTTAGTCTTTCGAAAGACTCCTGAACTCTTCACAGTGTACCCTGTCTACATTGGAATACAAAGGGATCCCTGTTCTTGGTTATAATCTGGGAAACTTAACCTCAGATTCTCAGTGACCCCAAGACTCTCAGCATCCCCGTGGTCTTAGAAGTGTTGACAGTCTTCCTTGCATGTTGCAGAATAGCACCCTAGTGCTGCATAAATATCACTTCTGAATCTGTTTGTATTGTTATACGTTTGTGGTGACTGTATGTACACGTCTGCATTTCTTCTTGATTCATTTTGAAGTGGTAGCTATACAAATGGTACCTGGTTTGGGACTGACTCATCCATATTTGACCAATTCCTAATTTTTTATAGAGAAGGAATTGTTTGCTTGTTTGATTGTTTTTATTATTTGTTGATTTGTTTCTCTGACTGAAGCTTCAACCAACGTTTCTTTCTATCACCACCCAGCAAACTCAACTTCAGCCCAATCATTGCACTCTCAGAAAATGCAGGCCGGCACGGTGACTCACACCTGTAGTCCCAGCACTTTGGGAGGCCAAGATGGGAAGATCACCTGAGGTCAGGAGTTCGAAACCAGCCTGGCCAACATGGCAAAACCCCATCTCTACAAAAATACAGAAATGAGCTGGCATGGTAGCACATGCCTGTAGTCCCAGCTCCTCAGGAGGCTGAGGCAGGAGAATCGCTTGAACCCCAGAGGCAGAGGTTGCAGTGAATTGAGATCGCACCACTGCACTCCAGTCTGGGCGATACAGCAAGATTCCATCTCAAAAAGAAAAGATAAGAAAATGCAAACACACTGTAATATTAGCCTAAGCAAAACTTAATTCTGATTTACAAAAATTCTTACTTGCTTGGCTTTGAAATGCATTGTATAATTACAAAATTATAAAATTACACGATGCATTTCAAAGCCAAGCAAGTAACAATTTTAGGTTATGTACATTTCTATAAATATAATAATTGTATTTTTATTTATTATTCTATCCTGGCTCTTAGCCAAATTAGGAGATTCTTTAGGAATGGACCGTGTACCAGTCAAGTCTGTCAGCAGGATTTATCACCCTTTTCCATTTTGTCCTAGAATATACCATCTTCCTTTCATTGAAATTTAACTGAAAAAACTTGTAAATATCAGTGTGTATTTGTGATTTTTCAGTGATTCAAGTGTAGTGTTGTTATCCAATTAAATAATTAACATATGGAATTTAGTCACAGGTTTCAAGTGCTTTCTCTACTGATCTTTTAAGCATGTTGGTATATTTAGATATGAGTGAAGTAATAGCTACCTAACAGTCCAACCTTGAAAGAGAGAAGGAACTTATTGAAGGCATTTTTAGAACAGTGGTAGCTCATAGCATCAATCAGCCTCCTCTTGGTTACATCCTTGAAGCCAATAACCCCAGAGTGTATTCATGCATGCAAATAAGCAAGGAACCACGGTCCCGAACTGATATGATGCCTTCATTCTAAAACAGTCTCGTTTGTTCCAATGAAAGCTGCTGTTTGCACCGTGACTATTCATCCCTCCAACTGGTAATAAATTATTACACTTGTATTTAGTCTTCTCGAGACTAATTAATGGTAAGCTTAAGATACTTTTAATATGCTAAGATGTACACGCTTATACCTATTATTATATATATTGAAAAATTAATCTCATTTAGCAAAACAGATCCATTTCCTCAGCCAGAATAAGAAAAACGATGGCTCTGTAATGAAACCATTAAAGACTTTTCTATCAGCATTCAACATTTAAAATAAGTTGCTTCACAAATTGAAGAAATCAAAAGATGGCTTCAGGCCCTCAGTCATGAGAAGGAACCCAGACTTAAACAGGAAGAAAGAATGTGACATGTAGGAGGTAATCAGGAAACTTAAAGTGAGTTCTATTTCTACAGGAAAAATGATGGCTTTGAAACATATCCTTCCAATTTAATAGCTATCTTTCCTTTGGCTCAAGAGGATGGGTGCGCTCACACACACCCACACACACACACACACACACACACACACACACATACTGCAGACCAGGAAAGGCCTTATAAGGGCATATAATTCAACTCACTCCTCTCTTAGGTGAGGAGATCTGAGTTTCAAGAGGAAATGCCTTGCTTAAGGGTACAGCTAATGCTTGCTGGAGCCAAGATATTGCCCCAAGATTTTTACTCTGATGCAGCGAACTGCACTCGGGACTGCACTCCTGACTCCTAAGGAGTGGACCCTCCGCTGGTTTCTGGCCTCCCAGCAGAATCATAAACTGCAGAGAAGATACTGTTCCTCCCTCTGGCAGGCCAAGAGCACATCCAATCCAAGGGACCATAATTGAGACTCCAGGATTCCAGGGAAACCAGAGGGAATCACCCCAGAATCACCCTAGTGCTCCTGCCTTTTTTCCTAATGAGAGAAATGGGCGTGGAGGGGCTCTTAACACATTTGACTTGAATGCACATGGAGCTATTTGCAAGTGATTCAGGAGCCAAACGGTAAAGCAGGTTGTGCTGAGAGGTGACCTGGCCCCAGGAAAAGCAGGTGGAGGGGAGGGGGTTTGCTTGCACTCAAAGACAAGGCAAGCGGGGCCACCCACAACCCAGTGTGCAGTCTTCACCCAAGCCACTGCTGGCTGACTCAGCTGTGGTTCTGCTTTGTGCCTCCTAGCAGCCAAATACTCTCTAAAGAAATAAACATCAAACTTTTAAAGAGTTCAAGTTGTTTTTTTTTTTTTTTTTTTTGAGACGGAGTCTCGCTCTGTAGCCCAGGCTGGAGTGCAGTGGCTCAATCTCGGCTCACTGCAAGCTCCGCCTCCCGGGTTCCCGCCATTCTCCTGCCTCAGCCTCCCCAGTAGCTGGGACTACAGACGCCGCCACCTCGCCCGGCTAGTTTTTTGTATTTTTTTAGTAGAGACGGGGTTTCACCGTGTTAGCCAGGATGGTCTCGATCTCCTGACCTCGTGATCCGCCCGTCTTGGCCTCCCAAAGTGCTGGGATTACAGGCTTGAGCCACCGCGCCCGGCCTCAAGTTGGCTTTATACAGAAGTCTTACTGAGGACTATAGCCGGAGAGGAGTCTTTCAGAGAGGTTCTGTCAGACACTTCCAAAGCTGTGTTTTAGTTCACAGTTTATATGCAGGTGATGGAGATTTAGCACATGTACAATCACATCAAAGCTTGGGTGCAAGAGTACATCTGGTTATAGTTTACAGAAGCACAATCATTAACACTGTCAGATGTTATGTGCAGAAAAAGGCAAGGGCTAGGGTCATTCATCTTTTAAGAAACATAGTGACTCAGGCAAGAGACATGGGTCCCGATAGGATGTTGTCAGCTGTGGTTCTGGTTGTTACCTTAAAATGCTACATGTCATAAAAAATAACTGCATTTCTTTGTCAATTGAAAACTTTCATCGGATTTTACTATGGCTGTTCTAAGTTTTGGCTCTATCCTGTTTTGTCTTCAAAGCATTCCTGTGAAGAGCGGCACATTGTCACAGTCAGAGGCTTTGTGAAATTTTGCTGGCAAGCAGAAACGGGCACACATGACTTCTTACATTTGCTACTTTATCTCACATGGTGATATGAGGCAAATGCAGCATCTCCTGAGGTGCACCAACCAGGCACACATCACCTCCCGGGATTGCTGATGCCCTCTTTTATAATTTTAATTTTTGTGGGTACATAGTAGGTGTTTGGTGCCCTCTTTTTTTTTTTCTAAGATGAAGTCTCGCTCTGTCACCCAGGCTGGAGTGCAGTGGCATAATCTTGACTCACTGCAACCTCAGCCTCCTGGGTTCAAGTGATTCTCCTGCCTCAGCCTCCCTAGTAGCTGGGATTACAGGCATGCACCACCACACCTGGCTAATTTGTGTATTTTTAGT